TAAAAATATAAACCAGTCTTTCTAGGACAAACTCTAGTTCTTCTTTTATTTTTTTCAATAGATGATGAAATTTTCATCCACACAGTCAATTCCAATAGACTAGGAATCAAAGATTCTGTAGGAGAAAGTTCCAGCCAGTTCATTTGTACCCTACAAGCTTATGACGAGGAACTAAGACCCCCACAAACAGTCAATTTCCATGATCCAACCATTTTGAATATACATCCACACAAGAAAGTTGAGTGCATATCACAAAAAACTTAATTTTGAAACACAATTTCAACATATTAAGCACGAATTGTGCATAACTTACAGTATGATTTTCCATCAGGCGCTCCAAAGCTTGCCTGACCAGTAACTCGGACGTGCTATCCAATGCAGACGTTGCCTCGTCCAAAATCAAAATGGATGAATTTTGATAGAGTGCCCTTGCAATGGCTAGTCTGTCATATGGAAGGACATGTAAGTTTAGCTATTAAAAGAACTAGATGGAGGTATCCTGTAAAAATTGAGTTAATTTGAAACTTTGCCTTTGCTTCTGTCCTCCACTCAACGTTAACCCCCTGGGTCCAATATATGTATTGTATCCTTTCGGCAACCTTCTGATAAACTCATCTGCATTTGCGATTTGCGCCACTTCCTCTACCCTCTCCATGTCGATTTCCTTTGTCAGATCATAATATCCTATGTTTTCAGCTACAGTTCCTGAGAAAAGGATCTGACAACAAAAACCAAATGTTCGTATAATTCATCAAGACAATCTTGGACAATTCCACTATGTATTTCTTTCTTAGCAGCCAATGATTACTTGAATGCAGAGAAAGATAGTTAAGCGACCGATGAACTCGTTCCAAAGGGAAGTCAATAACCAGCTGGAAACTTATGAGGGAAGAAAAATAACAAAATCTCTGAGCAACTACCAAGGAACAAGGACTATGCAGCACCGAAATACAGTGTACTTTTGGTTCGCATCACAACAAAATGTATGAACAAGTAATCGACAACCACTCACCATGTCTTGAGAAACTAGACCAACATTTCTCCGTAAACTTTTAAGTCGAACCGTCCGAATATTGTGGTTATCAAGAAGTATATCACCTATTCAGAGAAAGAACAATATTTATATCATGGAAATGTTAAAGAATTTGTGTGTTAAACAAAAGGAAACCTTGAAAGCAACTGTTTCTCCAGAAGGTCAGAACTAAGAACTGTAATATAAGTAGCTTACCAGATAATGGGTCATAAAGGCGAAGAAGCAATTTAACTAGTGTTGTCTTTCCTCCTCCAGAAGGTCCCATGAAAGCAACTGTTTCTCCAGCTTCGATGTGGAGGTTTAATCTATCCAACACAAGAGGCATATTGCTCCCATAGGCGAATGAGACATTACAAAATTTTACCTCCCCCTTCAAACTGTTTAAATCGACCGCATCACGTGTCTCAATCACCTATAATCAAAGATCATAAAGCGATTGTCCATAAAGCGATTGTTTGAATTCACCTATAATCGACCGCAGAACGCTTGTTTGAGTCATTGTCTTGCTTGCCTCCAATGAAAGCTCATAAAGCGATTGTTTATCCAATATATTATTTGAATTGACAAACTAAAAGTAATTCTAAACATAAATTTGACATCAACTAGAAATTTACCTTAGGGTTGAACTCGATCAACTCAAACAATCGTTCGATAGCGGGTTCACCTTCCTTCAACTCATTGTATGCCTTTCCAATTTTCTGTATGATTGTTATTCAAAGAAGATCAAACTTAAAACTTATGCAAAAATAAATCTGAACCAAGAAAAGAAGGAAAAAAGAAAAAGGAAAATCAAACCCTGGACTCAAAAATACATACAGAAGCTCTTGTCATAACATAGTATCACCTGAACTGGTTCAATCAGAAAACCCAATGACGTGACAAATGAAATCATGCTACCACTACTAAATGAACCTCTTGAAACCACCAGAAAACCAACACAAAGCATTGATAATGACATGAAATATAGAGCTTGTACAACATGAGGTGCAAATGCCTTCATCTTCTTCTTCTTTAGACGTGCATACAGGTCGGTGCGAGTTAGCCTCTGAAACCTAATATTTTCGCAAAACTCTCCGCTGTTTGCTTTCACAAAAAGAAATGCTGGAAGAACCTATAACATAATCACAGAGATATATAAGAAAACTCGATCATTAGGACTTGAGAAGTGAATTCACAAACATGATTTAGATTCGAGAAGCGAATGCAAAAACATGTTTTAGATTTTCACCTCGGAAAATACAATTAGGACTTAGAAGCAAATTCATAACATGATTTAGTGATTAAGATGTACCTCATTTAGATAAGATGAAAGATTAGCAATGCTCAGACTCGCCATTTTAGATATTCGTCGTTGTCTCTCGCCGAGATAGGCAATGACAAGAGCTACACATGGAATAACCTAAGTTCAGGTAAAGACAATCAGAGTCGCCATATGATACCCACGAGAGAACACTGTAAAGAAACATTCAAAACAGGGTAATCTGAGAACAGTGTAAAGAAACTTTCCAGTTCTTACCATAGCTGAAATCAAGGATAGGACAGGGCTAATAGCTAACATGTGGGTCGCCATTGCTGACAACTGCAACATACTGGGCACTACAGTCTGTAATAAAAATGAAGCTACAAATAAAATCTATAAGGTTAAGAACCAAATGATTAAGTTTCCATTTCTAAAACATTCAAAATTTATATCAGTTCATTGAAATTAAAATACTGATACTACACTCGATTTCACTCACATTCAGGAGAGAATACACGGTATCCGCCACATCCGAGGCCTCCGCGGTAATCCTGTAAGCGATATCGCCAGCAGAAACGCCATTCACACCTTCAAAGAACTCCAAGTCCATCGCCAGAACTCTCTCGAAAACACGAACGCGGATTTCATAAATGGCATTCAACGCCGCATCCCAAATGAACGCTTCTTGGCAGTAACTCGCAACGAAACGAGCGAACACCAAGATCCCCAAAACCAGACCCTCATCCAACAAGTTGGTAGCATCGATTTTGTCGATAATCGAAGAAAATTTCCCGATCTTAGGCACGAGTAGGGATAGAGAGAAAACCGAGACAATACTACAGAGCCAACCACCAAGGATATGCTTACGCTGAGAGAGAATATGCGGAATTAAAGATTTGAACGTCTGAAAACTGCGAAGAAGAGGCCGATTCGATTGGGATTCAGAATCTTCGATGGTGGGGTTAGAGGAATTGGTGGAATTGACGGATTCGAATGCTAACGGCTTCGTTCGAATATGAAAACTTGTGATTTTGGGTTCGAATCGGGAGAAATGAAGAGAAATTGGTTTGGGATTGAAAAGGAGAATCTGGTTTCTTGAAAGGAGGGAAGATTGAAGCGCGATGCACATTGTTCCGTTGGTTTCTCAGAAAGCGCGCAAATAAAGTGGTGATGGGTTATACATTTTCTGAAATGGTTTTGACATGACAAGAACGAAGAACTAAAATAGGTAAAAATCATGAAATCCTAATCATATTTCTGCTAAAAAAAAGTTTGTATTTTATAAAAATTTCAAAAATATTTTTGAATGGTTAAATAATCTGAAAAATTAGGAAAAAAAAAAAAAAGACTCTTGTGGCTAATACTATATTAAAAAAATTCTTTAAATAATATGACAAAAATCGCAATTATTTTTAAATATTTTAATATAACTTAGTTTTGAAACATGTTACTAGCTATTTTTAATTTTTAAAAATATTTAAAATTTATATTTGTGAAGTTTTTAAAAATTTTGAATGTATTAATAAAATTTTTAAAACTTTTTTAAAAATGGAAGGAAATTTTAATTTAAGAATATTTTTTAAAATAAAGTAGTAACAGTTTCCATGGAAAAATTAAAAGTATTTTTTTTTACGTTAATTTATGATATTTATCCGACAAAGTACGTATACTTTTATTAATTTAGCCTAGTATTTATAAAAATACAAAATATTATATAATTTCCCTTGTAATATCAATATAAAAAAAAAGATAAAATGAAGGGAAAAAAAAAACTGGAGAAGAGGGAGGGAGGAGCAAAGTTGAGGGAAGAGAATCAGTTTTCTCGCAAGTTCTTAACAATGGCGAAGGCGACCACCGCTACGGCGGCGATGACGCTGGAGACGATGAACGGCATCTTCAATGTCTGCATCGCTTCCATCTTCTTCACCCGGTTTCGTTCTTCTTCAGCTGCTTTTCTCTTCTCTTGCTCCTGAGATTTCCCAACAAACACTTTCTTCTTCAATATAATTTTACTTTATATTTAACCTAAACCTAACGTAGTTTTATATTTTTTTAATATATTATCTTTGTTGGACGATGAAAGTCCACCTCGGCTAATTTATAGAATGATCATGCGTTTCTAATTAAGGAATGACCATGATGAGAGCGAGGGTGTGTTCGTCTAATAATCTTTTCAATCATTATTGAAACTTATTTTTAATTTTCAAAATTATTTTATACTCTAACTTTTAAATACATTTTTCTTAATTCCTTAAAATAAAATTTTAATTTCTAAACCTAAAAGTTAAAATTACCTTAATAACCAAAGATGCAGCAGCTTCCGAGGAAATGGGATCCACGTCAACGTGCTTGTTTTGGCCGGGATTTAACTCTCTCTCACCGTCCGCCGGAAACCGGGAACCTGCTGCATTGGTTACTCCGCCATCTCTGCCTGAGCTTGCCATATATATATATTTTTTTTCTTTTTTTCTTTTTTCTCACTAAAAAAAATCAAAATAGACAAAAAAAAAACAGAACCAAAAGACAAGTTCATTGGCTTTGGTATTTTATACTGGGATGGCTACTGTGACACGTGGAGTCAACCTAGTGGCTTAAATGTCGTTAACTACCAACCAGGAACCACTTTCTTTTATTAACCGTCAACGGCCTCAAATACCGTTTGGATTTCCTTGATTGGCTGTTTTTCCGTTAGAACACAAAATTATAATTATAATAAATGTTTGAATGGATATAAATTAATTTTTTCCCCTTAAAATTAAATCCAAGCTAATTGAAGTGCAACCAGAAGCACATTTGAATGTATAGATAAACTCATACACACCATCTGAGCAGCAATAAAATCAAAAGGAAAGAAATAGAGAGAACACCGTACATGATGCGTGTAATACCGTTCGGTTCGGTTCGTTCAACGCCACGCTTCGGCTAGCTCCGTCCTCGAGTTCAACCGCCCGACAATGCCATTCTTCTTGCCCCTCTGTGCAGTACCTGCTGTGTGAACCTTCACTGACCCATTCACTTTCTTGCTGCCTTTCTTCAGATTCAAACTGTTCGATCGATCGAGGCTATTCTTTCGACAACTCTCCTGTTCTTCGGTGATTTCCGATACGATTTCGCAGGGAGAGTTGTTCGCTAGTGAATGGCTTCCCTCTGGAATGATGTTTTCAATGGATGACAGAAGATTTTGTGATCCATTTTCAGGAGCAGGTTCTTCAGTTACAAATACTTGTTCATCTTCAGCTTCTTCATTCTTGGGCTCATTTTGTTCGTCTTGATGCAATTGTGATGCAGTTTGATGCCCGTCTTCATCTGATGGATTTATGCGCAAAATGGGAGCTGACTCAACAACCAAATCTTCTCTGTTCTTCAGTGTCAGCTCAATGAGAGTCTTGAGAAAGTTCATCACTTTCACTGCATACATCAAGGCTGTTAATGGATCTGTCATCTGCAAAAGTAGATGAGAGTAGTATTACACATCAAGTCGAATGTGCTTTCGACACCGTCATCATGATCTAATCAGAGCCTCGACCCCAAGTACACGAAGTAAGATAGGACAGCAGCGTCCAATATAACAACCTAAACCCACCGCTAGCCGATATTATCCGCTTTGGCATGTTATTATCGTTGTCAGCTTCACAGTTTTAAAATGCGTCTATCAGAGGAGGTTTTCACATTCTTATAAGAAATGTTTTGTTTCCCTCTCCAATCGATGTGGGATCTCACAATCCACCCCTAAGAGCCCAACGTTCTCGCTGGCACACCATCTAATGTCTGGCTCTGATACCATCTGTACCAGCCCAACCCACCACTAATAGATAGTTTGCTTTGGCCTCTTACGAATCGCCGTCAGCCTCACGGTTTTAAGGAAATGTTCACTCACTTGAGTCATATTGGGGGCAAAAACCATGGCGACATTACGGGCATTCATCTTGTTCTGATGTTCAAACTGCACGACATCAGCCATTAAGTTTACTGCCCAATCGAGAAGCGCAGCTTCTGTAGGGGGAAGGAGTGTTGCTAGCTCAGCACATTCTTCTTCGGTCTGCGCCTCAATCACTTGTTCTGGTGCGAGGGAATCCAACACACCCGTTGGAAGTTCTCGAAACCAAGCCTATAACAACAAGTTCCAACAGATGAGATGAATGCATACAAGAATTGATACTCAAAGCATCAGATGACAGTCGATGATAGTACCTTGATGAGACCTGCCAAGCAGTGCACATCAACACCATCTGGCACGACACCTCGATTCAACTCGTCCCGAACGAATTCCTCTTGGCTGTTCCCAGCAGTAATCCTGAAAATTCCTTCTGCCTACAGGTTTAGAACAACAATTCATTTCGACCCGAAATCGTCAATCCCTGAAGATTTTCTATCACCAATATGTTGTGTAAAGAACAAGCAATAAGATTGTAGATACCTCCAGGCCTCCTTGTGTGTACAAATGTTTCTGCATTAACAGAAGTATCGTGGGGACACTGTTTCCTCTTGAATCAAAGGAAAGCTGCATTGACTCTGTGGAAACACCGAACACATTTGCGCTGCAGATAAAGCTTTCATTGTCAAGAGGAGCTATGCTATTTATATCACCATTTGTAAGATGAACTACTTAGATCTAGCTTTCTTCCGACAACAGCTAGCTGAAAAACCTTCTACCTTAATAGACAACCTTAATAATCAAACAAGACACCAAACAGAGTTTAGTTTTAAACAACATACGCCAGTTTGGACAGGAAGAAGTAATGTCTAACCGTCTATGATATTACCCTCTTTAAACTTTTTCTTTCGAGCTTCCCTCCAAAGTTGTAAAACGCGTCTGCTAGGAAGAGGTTTCCACACCCTTAAAAGAATGTTTCGTTCCTCTCTCCATCCGATGTGGGAATCTCACAATCCGCCCCCTCAAGGCTAGCGTCATTTGTAACAGCCCAAATCCACTACTAGCACACCGCCAGATGTACACCCTCGAAGTGTTTGGCTCTAATACCATTTATAACAACCCAAGCCCACTGCTAGTAGATATTATTCTATTTGGTTTTTCCTTTCGGGCTTCCTCTCGTGATTTTAAAACACATTGGTTAGGGAAAGGTTTTCACACCCTTACAAGAAATGTTTTATTCCCCTCCTCCTACGGACGTGGGATGAGAAATATTCCCGGTTGAACAATGAAACATTTCAAGGATTTGACACACAGAATTAAAGCAATATGCACACACAAGTTGAGGTCAAAGTTCGCCCAAATCAGACAACCCAGAACTCAAAATCTAAACACAAGCAGAATTTCTCCATCACAACCAAAAACAGGGGAATTTAAAGCAAAAAGAGAAGGGTTGAAGATTATAGACCTTGCACTAGGAGCTCTTCTAGGTACCTCAAGCTCAAACTCAACAGGCAAGCCAAGGAAGCCATTGAAGCGATCAAAAGTGACATGAGCCACATGCCTAACATCAGAAGGCCATCCAATCTCCATTGAAGATAGCTTCCCCGCAGCTCTACCAGTTCCACTACTAGCACTTCTACACCCAATTAAAGACTTCCTAAAAGCAGCGAGCAAAAGGGTCAACAGAGACAGCTGATCTCCCTCTCCGTCACTGTCTTCCCTTTCTTCTCGTTCTTCCTCAGAACCCAAATGAAATTGAAGGCAGTGGTTTATGTTAGGAGTGGTAATAAGGGAATGTGGGTGCGGACCATCATTGGTAGTGGAAGAGCTTGAAGGTGAAGGGAAGTGAGATGGGGAGCGTTGGAGTACTACGTCTGTCATTTTAAAACAAACCCCAAAACCCAATAAAAGTAAACTAAAATTTGGTGAGCAAAAAGGAATCGGTCTTCGATTTCGTTAACGCTGTTTGAAACATTGATTTGGGTCTACGAAAAAGAAGAAGAGTTGGATTGAAGAAAGGGCATCGGAAGGTAAGACGTGACCATCATCACTTTCATGGAGGTTAGAGAGAGAAAGTAGAGAGAGAATGATGATGTTTAGGGGAATTTTGAAGCCAACGATTTGCAAGCCAAGAGGAAAATGACCCGTTTCGTCCTCGGAATGGTCTTCTTCTTCTTCTTCTTCTTCTTCTTCTTCTATTTGTGTCAATTCCATTATCCTTTCAAAATTAATTTATGATCAAATTATAATATTTTAATAATTTAGTTGAAATGAATAATTAATCCATTTAAATTTTTTATAATTAATTGATATTTTATGTAACGTCCCACCGTACCTAATAGATATTGTCTGTTTGACCCATTAAGTTATCAGTCTCATGATTTTAAAGTTTATCTTTATTTAGAGAGATTTTCACATTATTATAAGAAATGTTTTATTTCACTCTCTAATCGACGTCAATCCCACAATTCACCCTAAAAGGAAAATTTGGTCACGAGACTCCTTATAAGAATATTTAGTTTCCCTCTCCAAGCGTATATAAGATTTTAGTTGTGATGTTTCACGTCAATTGGAGAGGAGAACAAACCACCATTTATAAGGGTGTAGAAACCTTTTCCTAGCATACACGTTTTAAAGTCCAAAGAGAACAATGTTTGCTAGCGGTAGATCTTGACCGTTGGTATTGGAGCCAGACACCGAATGATGTGTCAATCTTATTGCTGTACTCCGAAAGGGATAGAGACACCGGATGATGTGCCAGAAACTTTAATGTTATGAATTTAATATATTTGATCCATGAATAAATTTAAATTTATAAAGAGGAAGAATGACAGGTGGTGACAGAGGGAGATGAAGGCGAAAAAAAAGGGACCAATCCAGCGTGGCCATCGGGTTCTTGGGACCTGTCTCACAGCGATGTCTTATCTGAATGTGGGGGTTGGGATCCTCTGCTTCCAAGCCCACCACTTTCCCATCACCACATCACATCACATCCCTCCATCTCATCAACTCCTCTAGTTATCACAAACCTAATTATATTTTAAGTTTTATTCCCTTATTAAAATTATTAAACGTGTTTGAAAATTAGCGTGTCCCAATCAAGGATTCAACACAAGTTTTTAATCATATAGTGTATATATATATATATTAAATGAAATGAAATAAATAATATAATTGTTTTTATTAAAAGAAACAAAAAAAAATCTAAAACTAGGAGAGAGAAAGCAAACAAAAGAATATTTCTGTCTCTCTCTTAGTACTGGCAGAAACGGCCATGGATGAGATGAAGACTTCAAATAAGAAAAATAAGAAAACGAATATTTCTTTGCCTGCCGGAGAAGAAGAGAGAGAAAGAGAAAGAAGTTGGCAGCTGTGGCGGTGGCGACGGCGGCGACAGCCAGCATACGGGCTGAGCGAGGCAGCAATGGCTTTTAAGCTTTATGAAAAGATTCCGAATAAACCCGTTGAGCTGTCGGATTCAACGGCTTACCTTAAAGTACTAACGGTTTCAAATTTAAAATCCACGCGCGCTTTTCTTCTTTTTCATTAGTGGACACTTTTTTAAATAAAAATATATTTTTTTTTCATTTAACTTTAAAATTAAGTATGAAATGAATGAAAAAACGCATTCCAATATTGAACTTTTAAATTTTTGTGTATTTTTAATTTTATTTTAAAAGTGAAATTTCTATTTCTAATATTTTTATTTTAAAAAAATGTAGACAAGTTTAATTTTTAATCTCGATATATGATTAAATAATTTATTTACTTTAACAAAAAATGTAGCATCAATAATAAATAAATAACTTAAAATACGTATTTTAAAGTCCACTAAAAAATTGCTTCCACGTTGTGAGATGCCATTTATATCTCCGGCAAGATGGGGAAGAAGCCATTATAAATTGGGGGATCTTCTTAGTTAGTGGAGGATCATTGAAAAAGATTAGGTCTCTCTTCTTTTTGTTTTATTTAATTTCATAATTTACTACTTGTGTTGAAAAAATAAGTGAAAAATACATAATATTAAGATATTTTTCACCATTAAAAAAAAACGTAATAATTTACTAGTTATCTTTTAAAATGCCAAAAATAAAAGACGAAAATTGTAAGTGCATGAGAAGTTGAATGAATTATTTAAAAATAAAAGATAAAAAATTCAGTAGAAAGAAACAAAATAATGGGGTGTTGCGAGAATCGAACTCGCGACCTCTCGCACCCGAAGCGAGAATCATACCACTAGACCAAACACCCTTTGTTAATATGTCTATAAAGTAAAATTATATACTTTTTAGTTTTTAATAATTTTCATAGAAATGGTTTTACACGTGATCGGAATATAATTATAAAATTAATTATTATAATTTTATAGTTATATATTATGGATTATGATGGCAACTTTCATTTTGTTTGGTAAAAGTTTTATTTTTAGTGAAAAATACTTAATAAAAAATAGAAAATGTATATTTGTATTTTATCGTAAAAAAATTGCTATCCATATTTTATAACTTATTTATGGAAATATATATAGAAACAAAGGTAACATATTATTAAATACAACTAAATTTGAAATTAAAGAATTGGTTTTAATTTTGTTTTAAAAGATACTTAAAATATTTTCTTAACAAAAATGAGAAAATAAATAAATAAATAGAAAATCTTATTGAAAGTTAGATTTCCAAAAAGAAAAATTGAAAATTGAAATGGAATTAAATTAGGGTTATTTTCTCTCTAAAATTTTATTTTCTATTAACGAGGCAGAAGAGCAACAACATTGCATTATAAAAATTATATAAAAACAAGAGGCACATACACATTTCAAGAATCGAGCTAAACTTTTAGCCTTCAACTACTTCCATGGCACCACTTACCAAAATTTTCTTCATCTCATCGAAAAGTAGGTTCATTTGATCTCGGGAGAACAAAGGCGACGGGTACACACAAGCACAATCCAACTGACCGTCACGAATCATGTCGAAGAGGGCGATCGATGGTCCGACACCGTGCGCGGAGGCACAACCGATGTAATCAAATATGCCTAGGTGTTGCTGAGCAGGATCAGATGTGTAGATGATTGGGTCTTCGAACGCCGAGATTAGGGCCGTTCTCATGGATGAGGATGGAGTGAGGCCGGGATTTTCGATTGCTTTGCCCATGAGAAAGTTCAAGTCAGACATGTCTGTGAAATGCTTGTTGTTTTCTTTGCCATTTGAGAAGGAAAAATAGCATCGCTCTGCCACTTCCCATAGTGTATCTTCAGCTGATATGTCGTGTGTGTTGAGGATGGCAGAGTGATAGAATCCTAAAATATACAAAAAATAATAATAATAATAATAATAATAATAAAATAATGATATTTGTCGGCTCTCATGGCTCTTCTTTGGTCTTCCCAAACGGTCTCATACCAATGGAGATAGTAATCATTGATTATAAACCCATGATCATTTCCTAAATTAGCCGATGTGGTTCTTTCATCCAACACCTCCTCTCGAACAAAGTACGTCTCTTCTTAATTGAGCCTCGATTTTTTTTTCTTCTTTTGGAGTCTTCAAACAAATTACACCCTTTGTTCGATACTTTAGTCACTTTTTTATTATGTTTTTTATGCTCACACAACTTTGTTCGACATTTGAGGTTTCTATTGGCATGTTTAAGTTTACGGCATGACTCTATACTATATTAGGAATCACGGATCTCCACAACAAATAATTTGAACAACAATCGATATAGAGTTGAAGTGAGCGAAATAATGTGAGAATTTACCTAAATGGTGGGTCGTGAGGGGAGGATCAAGTAGGGAACGACAATCGATGAGTGTAACCACAGCATATTTCTCGGTCTGATAAGGAGGAAGGTCTTTAGAACAACGGGTAGCTATCAATCCAGCAGCTTCAAGAGCTCCACACAGCTTAATGCCTCTCGATTTGCAGCCCTTCAAACATTCATATCACAACACCCAAGATTCAATATTCACATAGCCAACCGACGGTGAAACGTGGACACCTCACACTACCAAGATTGACTCGCTACATCATACCGTACCTTAATAAAACCCATTCCTCTTTAAATTAATAATGATCAGAGACAATACCCTATACATATTATATACTCCGAATAACTATATCAATTAAAATATTGAAATTAAAAGAACGAAAAATGGGGAAATACTAAAAATTAAATTATTGAGTATAAAATAATAAATTAATTATCTTTTAGACTAAAATGAAATCTGATTGGCTTTTGAGATAGAAAGTGGGTCCCATTAAACATTTTCCCGAGAAAATGAAGGAAAAGTTGCAGAGAAAAAAAATGACTTACAGCGAGAAGTTTCTGGGTCTCATCGGAGTTCAATTTCAACCTAATCATCTGAGAAAATCTCTCAGAACTCGCGTCTTTGAATTCCAAATTCGCGAATCGGAAAGAATTCAACGAGTAACCAAGCATGTCCAATCCACGCGCCCACAGAGGCTTATACGCTTTACCGCTAGGGATTAGATCCTCAATCCCTGATCCAATCTCACCATTATCCCCAATTTCAAATCCTCCGCCCTCGATTTTTCCTCCCGCCGCCGTAAGCACGAGCAGCTCTCGCAACAGAGACGCCGCTGCAACCCGATCGCACGCCGCTGTGTGGAGGGTGAGAAACACCGCCCATTGGCCGTCGCTGAGGGCGTAGACGGTGGCGAACATCACATCGGTATCGGAGTAGGACGGATGGCTCGGATTGAGCCACTTGGCGCGGTTGATTTCGTGCTCGAGGATCTTGTGAAAATCAGAGATGGAAGGATTGTCGGCGTCGGGATGAGAGGCGATGGCACGTGCGGCAGCGGCGAGATCGAGGATCTGGAGATGGATCGACGGAGAAGGGGGAATAAGTAAGGAGAAATCTCGTCGGGAAGGATCGTGGTGGATTTTGGAGCGGAGAATTGGGTGGAGGTTTTGGAGATTGTGGAGGGAGGCTTGGAGATGGGAAATATCGGGAGGCTTTGAGAGGAGGAGGCCAAGGACAGTGGTGCCGGTGCCACCGGGAACGGCGCGGCACCAGCTGTGCTCGGTGCCGCCGACGGGACGGAACTTGATCTCATCGGACATTTTGGAGGCGGTGACGGTGGGAGTACAGAGAGGGTACTGCAGCCGTAGGAAATCTGATCCTTTCAAAAGAAGATAATAGGAAGAAGACGATGGTCCAAGGGG